AAACCATGTATACTTCATACGACATCTCTTTCGCTCCTCATGCCTGCATGTTTGTAACTTATTTTAACTTGATATTCAACTTGTCTATCTCTTACCATAATGGCAGGCCTATAGGCTTGTATTATTTCTTAACTTTTATTTCACGATCACAGCTACCCAAGGGAAGGCAACACATGGGTGACTTTGATCTTGAAGATTTTTTTCACTTATGTTGCAAGTACCTGTCATTCACAATCCCCTTATAGAATGTATAAGAAGATTGTGTATTTCTGATATCAATCAGCTAAAATAATTTTTCCTCTTTCAGGTTTAAAAAATTACGAATGGCTCTCTCTCAATTTTTTTTGTAGGTAAATGACAAATAGGATAATATATATATATATATATATAGATAGATATATATAAATACAATTTTTTTATCACATATAATGCCATTATTTTATAAGAGTTTCATCGCTACTACTTGCATTTTTTTATTTTAATTAAGTCATGTACTTTTACATTTGTGTCGAGCATGTAAGTGAAACATATGGTCTAAGTTTTTTCTTTTTATTTTTGAAAACGGTTGGTCGAAACTTTATTCTTGTCCACATGGATATGGGCTCATAAAAAACTTGCTACATGAACCATGATTCTACAAATAAACAAATATTGTAATTGATCTAGATGCACAGACATATTTTGGATGAAGAAGAATAAATATATATATATATATATACATATATGTTCCGGATGCAGAAAGGTTAAAAATAATAGTTGAACAAGAATAATTAAAATATGGAAAAAACAAAATTTGAAAAATTATAAACTTTTAACTCTGAATTAAAATAAATAATCCTTGTCCTCATTTCATTTAATTAATATGGCGGGAAGAGCTTAATTGCACCGGGTGCTGAGGATCTCACCCCATATTTTATAGACCTATTTTTCGTCTTCTAAAACTTGGCATAAAATAAAATAACCGAAGTATAACTTGTAGAAAAGTTTTATAATGCAAACGAAGGTTTGATGGAGTTTAAATTGACTTTGGAATATAAGATAGTTTTTCTAATGAATTACTCAATTTGTAACATTGCTTCAGAGGCTGCGCTGCATCAACCTTGCCACCGCCGTCATCAAGAAACATCCCGTGGCAGACGGACACAATCTTGAGATTGTTCCTGCTGTACAAGATTCCTTCAATCTTGGGAAAGTTGGGGCCGTATCCTCTGGTAGCGACAGACATAGGACATGTTGAAAACTAGCTGACTCTAGTTGCCGTCCTGACTTGGTCTGTTACCGGCAATCTCGACTCCAGGCAATTAAGGCAGAGAAATCATTACAACTTGCCTTCTAACCTAGGTTAGAGTCGAACACAGAACCTCGGAGTATGATAATAATTGAAGTCTTGACTTTATGATAATAATCGAAGTCTTGACTTTTTATTATTGACAGTAACAATTCGTTTACCAAGGCAAAGATTTATTTTCAGTTGTTGAGCTATTGCAACGATGATTTGAATATGAATACCAAATGTGTTAAAATATGATATTAACTAACCAACATCCTATACATAATAAATGTTAGCGACTACGTTGACGTCAACAAGGGCCGTCAAGACACAGTGCTGATGCAACTTTTGTCGTATTGTACTATGAAAACTCTCGAAGCCATGAAAGGAACGACAGACTCTCCAGACCATGTGGAAAAAGATTAAATTAAGAATAAACTAGCATGATGACAAAAGTAAGTAATGCAGCCAATCATTTATAATGCATCCACATTATGTTTTCATGTTTTGGTTCCGGAAAATCGCAAGCACGTGGCATTGTCAAAAGCACGACTTGAAAATAGAAATTAGTTATCAGAATTTGAAAACGGCCGATTAACAAAACATGGAAACTAACTAACTTAGCCACATTATGGTTTTTCGTCAAAATAGTGATTTTTAAAGGCAGGTATACGGCATAAGAATACTAAAGAAAAGCCAATTTGTGAAACATGGAAAGCAACTAATGCAGCCACATCCTTGTTTTTTTATTACGACAAAACGCAAGAATGCGGCATTCTCAAAATAAGGGATTTTGAAAACAGGAATCCGTTATCAGAATTCGAACCCACCAATTAAAGCTCAGCCACTCCGTGCATCCTTGGATTTAGTACAATATCCAATGCATTAAAAACGGATAAACATTTGCTCTAAATAAAATCATAGACGGATCAAAACACACACAGACACAAACAGAACACATTTGTGTGTTTGTTTGAGAGATTGGATTATGAGTTGGGATTTGAATAGTAAAAACTTTGAATTGGAATAGTTGTTTGATGTGAAATAAATAGGTTTTGATGTGATGTTACGAATATAAAATTAATTTTTAGTATAATATAAAAAAATAAAAAATAAGTATTTGATTTGATATTTATTGGAGAAAAAATTTAGTGAATACTAAATTTGGGGTAAAACTTCCAAACGAAGATATATAAACACAAGATAAAATTGAAGTTACAAAAACACTTGGTTTGATCCATAACTACATAAAATTGAAAATATGCACAAGATATTAGGACAGACGATACTATCACAACCACAGTAAAACCAAGATGATAGCCATTACCAAAAACCATAATGATAAATGAGATCAAAGAACAGAAGGTTAACTGATGAACAACAATTAATTAACAAAGTAGTAAGAGATATGATTCATTATTCAGTTTGGAGTCTCTCATCTCTCTCCACTTTCCTAGTAGCTGACTCCATTTTCGTAAGAAAAAATCCGTTCGAGCGCAAATCCGAATCCTTCCGTCGATGGATCGAATCCGAACCGACCGTTAGTTGATAGCCTCAAACTCAACTTGGTTTCGTCGTCCGCCTGCGCCGCCGCTTCTGCATTCCTACTATCTCCACTAACCGCGGAACTGTTTCGGCACTCGAAATTGTTGCCTCTCATGCTGCCTCCTTCCATCGCTCAAAGATGAGAAAACTCAAAATCAAAGTTAAGAAGCAACGCCTGACCCTCCTGCAGTGCAAACCGAGTCGAGCTAGAACTCAGAAATCCGAAATCCAAAGCCCATGTATTATAGTGTTCCGTAGAAACACGGCCGTATTCCATATAAACACGCCCGTGTTGGAGTTTCAAATTCGGTCAGCTGAGGTGCATTATAAACACGGGCGTGTTGTGTCCGAGTTAACTTCCAAGTCAGCATCCGTAACAGCAACGTCAGTCAAAACCGTCAAAATATAAGTAATTTTTTTAGTGGAACTAGTTTTGATAATTTTTTTGTATGAGACCAAAAATGAAAAAATTGGATTTGAATGGGACTAATGATTTTTACTCTAAAAATAATTTCGGACACTGAAATTACAAAATGTATAGATTAATTCCAAAAAGAAGACTTACTTAAAATATACAATAATTATAATATATATAATTTTATTTACTTAGTCCACGGCTAAACTGTCTCATTATGGGTTAATCTACTAATAATTTACAGTCTACATGAGTTGGCTTATATAAATAACGTATTTTTGTGGGCCTAAAAAATTAATACACGATTCTCTTTAAAAATAAGGTGAGACAGGTTATCGTATTGGTTCAATCTATTTTGACAATTCTAACATTGTGTTTGAATTATTTCTATTATATACTTTCTCCGTCCAATTTCAATTGTCCTAAAGTATATTTGTACGATTTTTTAGGTGATTGTCTTTTTAGTATAAATTGACAAATTTGCCCTTAATTGTATGGTAGAGATTAAAAATAATAAATAAATTAAGGGAAAAAAATATAAAATTTGTGTTTAAAAAAAGAAATAAGGACAATAGTTGTTGGACGTCCCAAATAAGAAAGTAGGACAGTAGTTTATGGACAGAGAGAGTAGTTTTTATTGTAATTTAAGTATGAGTCTGTTTTGAATTTATATTTGTGTACGCATTATTACTTCTTCCGTCCCAGAACTATAGTCTGAGTTGTGTTTGACACGAGATTTAAAGAATATTAATATTATATTGATAGTGGGTAAAATGTACGAGTAAAAGATTTTTTTGGCCTTGTGAGTGTATTGGTGTAAAAAGCGGCAATTGTGTAATAATAATGAAAAAGTAAGGGTGATTTTACAGTGCTATGATTATTTATGGAAATAAGACTATTGTTTTGAGACGAACAAAAATGGTAAAAAGGACTGTTGTATTGAGATGGAGGGAGTATTATTTTAGACTAAATACAACTTCATATTATTCTCTATAATATGAAATTTATATTATACGATTTTTTTTAAAAAAAATAAATTTTACATTACTATTGCTAATCCACAGGATTTAGTAGTTGTGGCCATTTTTATTAGATTCGAATGTACTCTAAACAATTGATTAGAATAATCTCCCCCTGTACCACTTCAATGACTACTTATGTATTTTTGTAATAAATTTAAAAACAATAATATTTTATTGATAAATGAAAATATATAAAAAAAATTTAATATTTTGTTATTTGTTAGTTATGTATAAAATATTTGCAAGTATGATTTATATATTTATAATTTACGTAAAAATTAAATAATATTAGTTGATAATTATTTTTATTATAATAGAAAATAAATAACAGATAAAAATATTAAAAATAATATTTTTAGAACTGAAAAATATATATATTTGTGATATTATATTTTCTTAGCCGTCAAATTTTATTTTATTTGTTATTGATATTTAAATCTATGTTTATTTCTTTTTTTAATTTTTATCTGTTTATCTTAAAAAAATTATTTTTATCTATTTTTTTAAAAATTCGTGACAACATTTATTTTATTTTTACCAAAGGAATAATTATACAATAAATAAAATAATAAATATATGGTTGGGGAGCGAAAATTGAAATAGAGAAAACGAGTAACGCGACGCTTGGTGAACGAACAGTCAGGTGGAAGCTTGCATGTGTCCACCACGTGGGATTTCCTCTTCTGCCACGTGTCCCTTCTCTCTCCATCTGATTAAATCCCATTCTTCCCCTCTCTACCGTACTGCAGTTCTGCTCTTGCTCCCCTCCCCTCTCCTGCTGTGGATTACGGATTTCTGAAGGTTGGTTCCGATTCGGCACTGCGTTAGAGTGAACCGTTGCTTTCGAACTTGATTTTGGTTTAGGGTGTAGGATCATCTTTGGTTGATTTGTTTGCGTGATTTTTGGTTTGTTTGTTTATTCGTTTTTGTTGCTGCAGTTGGAACAATGGAGAGAGGCGACATGAGAAGCAACAATTTTGAGTACAGGAACAGTTCGGTGGTTGGGGGAGATAGTAGGAATGCGGAAGCGGCGGCGCCGGCGGACGGCGGAATCGAGTTGAGTCTGGGGCTTTCAACGAACGGTCGGTTCGGAGTCGATCGATCGACGGAAGGATTCAGGCGATCGTCTTCAGTATCCGATTTACACTCCAATGGATTCTCTTACGTTAATGGAGTGAGCTACTCGGCAAATGGAAGCGGCGCGCCGCTAGTGAGGGTGAGCTCCGTCCCTACAGAGACGGATGAGAGGCCCCAAACTGAAGTGCAGGCTCGGCGTAGTACAGAGACTCGAGGGCACGGGAGAGAGAGGATTCGTGACGTGAATGGATTGCGCGAGGGAAATTCTTCATCCTCTCAGCTGACAGAGAGTGGATTTGTTAATGGGATTGAGAATTTGATTCTAGGGCAATCATCATCATCACCATCGCAGGGGCTCATTCTCATTCCACCAACATCTGCTGCCGGAATAGATCCTGATACAATTGAGGCCTTACTGTTGCAGGGTATATGAATCATATCTCTTACTTCTTTGTTAATTAATCGTTGTTCGTCAGTTAATCTTCTATTATTTGATAACGTGGATTCCTTCATTTATCACTATGGTTTTTGGTAATTGATAGCATCTTGTGATAGTATCATCTGTGCTAACAATTTGTGCTTATTTTCAAGTTTATATATAGTTTTGGATCGACCAAGTGCTTTTGTAAGTGCATTGTGTGGAATATATGAAGGCTTTGGCCATTGCAGGTGTTTAAATGTGCTCTGTATGTGTATGTGTATGTGTGCTATGTGGTTTGATCAGTCTATGTTCCTGTGATTTTCTTTAGAGCAAATGTTTCTGCCTTTTTAATGGATTGGATATTGTACTAAATTCAAGGATGCAGGAGTGGCTCTGCTGTAATTGGCTGGTTCGAATTCTGATAACGAATTTTTTGTTTCCAGAAATGATGCCTTTGACAATGCCACAGATGCTTGTGTTTTGTCGGAGTTGAAAAAACATAATGTGGCATTAGTTTGTTAGTTTCCATGTTCCGCCAATTGGCTGTTTCAAATTATGATCAACGGATTCCTGTTTTCGAAAACCATGGTTTTGACAATGCCACATTCTTGCGTTTTGTTGGAGTCAAAACAAACGAAATGTGGCTGTGTTAGGTAGTTTCCATGTTTCGCCAATTGGCTGTTTTATATTCTGATAACAAATACCTGTTTTTAAAAACCCCAATTTTGGCAATGTAGCATGCTTGTGTTTTTGTTGGAGTTGAGAAAACCATAATGAAGCTGGACTAGTTACTTACTTAGTTTCTGTGTTTTATCAATTGGCTTTTTCAAATTCTGATAAAAGAATTCCTATTCTAACAGACTGCAGTTTTGACAATGCCACCTGCTTGTGTTTTGTCGGAGTTAGTTCCCATGTTTCTTCTATTGGCTGTTTCATATGCTGACAACAAAATACCTGTCTTTATAAACCCCAGTTTTGGCAATGTAGCATGCTTGTGTTTTCTCCTGAATCAGAAACACATAATATGGCTGCATTTCTTAGTTTCCATGTTTTTCCAGTTGGCTTTTTCAAATTCCGATAACTAATTCCTGTTTTCAAACCGTTGTTTTGACAATGCCACGTGCTTGCGTTTTGTTGGAAGCAAAAGATAGAAACATGATGTGGATGCATTATAAATGATTGGCTGCATTAGTTGTTTTTTTGTCATTATGCTAGTTTATTCGTAATTCAATGTTTTTCCACGTGGTGTGAAGAGTCTGTCATTCCTTTCAATAGCTTGCAGTGTTTTTGTAGTATAATACGACAAAAAATCAATCAGCATTGTGTCTTGACGTCAACACACTGTAGTCGCTAACATTTATTATGTCTAGGACGTTGGTTAGTTAATATCATATTTTAACATATTTTTGGTATTCGTAATTCAAATCACCGTTGCAATAGGTCAGCAGTTGGAAATAAGTCTTCACCTTGGTAGTGCGACGAAAGGTATCCAGAAGGGTAATTTTCCAATGAAACCTGATCATTTGAGATAGTTTGGTCAAAAGAATGCTTAATGTCAATAAGAATTCACTGACTTCGATGACTAAAATGGTTATTACCTGAAACTGAAATGTTATATGTACTGTGTTCTCATCCATTGTCCTTTTTCACAGGTGCGGACCCGTATACTGCAGGCAATTCCTCTTCGAGCCCTCCTAATCCTCTTGTCGAAGTTGTTGAGGGTCTCTTAAATGGCGCCCCTGTCACTCCATCTTCACCCGGCTTTGATGCACCCGACGTGCAAGCTCCATTTGGTATTAATGCACATCCTGTTCAACCTGCCGGGAACAGGAACGGTGCCCCCGTTGTATCTATTACTGGCAATGATTTCTCAGCTAACAGCGACGCATTGCCTGCCGGTGAGATTGCCAATAACAGACCAAATCAGGACGTCAACACGAGGCATGCAGTATTCGACATGCCCTATGTCTCTACCAGAGGATACGGCCCGAACTGCCCCAAGATTGCAGGGATCTTGTACAGGTACCGGAGCGGGAACGACCTCAAGATCGTGTGCGTCTGCCATGGGATGTTTCTCTCGCCTGCCGAGTTCGTTAAGCATGGCGGCGGCAGCGAGGTTGCAGCGGCGCAGCCGCTGAAGCACATTGTGGTAGTCCCTTTCCCCTTTCCCTAGAGTTTAGACAGATTGGACTTATGCAAGCCCATCAGATTATAAGTATTTTTTTATAAGTATTTTTGGACTAGCTAAATTCTTGTAGATCAAGTGGTAAAATATTTCCGCTTGGAGACTATGATTCGAATTCGATACCGAGTGGGTGCGTGTTTGCTGACTGTAGGGTAAAAAAAAGGAAAGAGTAATCTTGGACCAACAATCATGTTAAAGTTTTGATTCAGTTCAATTTCATAACAGTTCAGGTCTAGTTCAAGTTTAGTTTACAAGATATTTAAGCTCGACTGGAGGTTTACCCAGAGCGCACTCAACGGCTGCGCGGTATCTCACATTAAAAAAATAAAATAAAATAACATGGCCATGGGTAGGGCAAAAAAATAAAAAATGGAGACACCCCAAAACCTACACTACCATAGATGTACAAATTCTACTCAAAAATATTATCGACCAAACAATGAATTAACGTTATTATGGAGTATAAGAAATCATTACAACTTGCCTTCTAACATACGTTAGAGTCGAACACAGGACCTCGGAGTACGATAATAATCAAAGTTTTGACCTTTTAGCATTGACATTAACCATTCGTTACCAAGGCAAAGATTTATTTTCAGTTGTTGAGTTATTGCAACGGTGACTGAATTATGAATACCAAATGTGTTAAAATGTTATATTAACTAATCAACATCCTAGTCATAATAAATGTTAGCGATTATAGTATGTTGACGTCAACCAAGGCCGTCAAGACATAGTGTTGATGCAACTTTTGTTGTATTGTACTATGGAAACTCTCTGCGCCATAAAAAGAATGATAGCTCTCCACATCATGTAGAATAAACTAGCATGACGAAAAAAAGTAACTAATGCAGCCAATCATTTATAATGCATCCACATTATGTATGTGTTTTTTTTACCCGATTTTGGAGAAAGTTACTGTGCGAGCACTGTAGGTTTGGGTTTGAGCACGAATTTTACGTTAGGAGGGACAACTCCGATGACGGCAGACAGTTCCTGCAAAAGCTGACATTGTGCAGGTATATTTTTTTTTTATATTTTTCTGTTTAAAAAAAAATTAAAATATAATTTAATATTTATTATAATTAAATGAAAAAATATATATATACAATATATATATCATTTTGTAGAGAATAATTTTTTCTATAATACAAATAAATAAAAATTTAAATATATATGTTGGTATAATATAAATTTATAATCAAATCATACAATATAAATTTTATCAATTAAAGTTAATACACATTTATATTATTTTATTCATTATCCATCGAATCAATACACATTAAAACTCCTCAAACCCCAGCCAAACCCAAACACAAAAAAACAACAAAATTCAAACTCATCCCAAAATTCAAATAAAAACCAAACCCAAATCCACTTTCCCCAAACTCCCCTAAAGAAACACACCCTATATTTTTATGTTTTGGTTCCGGAAAAACGCAAGCACATGGCATTGTCAAAAGCACGACTTGAAAATAGAAATTAATTATCAGAATTTGTAAACGGCCAATTGGCAAAACAGGGAAAACTAACTAACTTAGCCACATTATGGTTTTTTTGTCAAAATACTGATTTTTAAAGACAGGTATTCGTCATGAGAATATGAAACAACAAGCAATTGGCGAAACATGAAAAGCAACTAATGCAGCCACATCATGTTCTTTTTACTACGACAAAACGCAAGAACGTGGCATTGTCAAAATTGGGAATTTTGAAAACAGGAATCCGTTATCAGAATCCGAACCCGCCAATTACAGCTAAGCCACTCCGGGTGTGTTTGTTTGGAGGGTTGGATTTTAAATATACTATTCATCATATTTTTTTCCCCAAAAAACATCAAATCAAACATCTATTTTTTATTTTTTATATTATATTAAAAATCATTTTTACATTCAAAACATCACATCAACACCTATTTATATCACATCATACAACTATACAAATTCAAAAATTTTACTATTCAAATTCCAACTCAAAATCCAAACCCCCAAACAAACACTTTGTTGATCCATAACTATATAAAATTGAAAATATACACAAGATATTAGGACAGAGGATACTATCACAACCAGGAACGGACCTATTAAGGGTCCTCGGGGGCAGGCAAACTTTTTTTTTTATCTTTTTTTTAAAAAAAATAAAAATAATTTTTTTAAATCTAATTATGTAATTTTGTCCTCTAATTCAAATTTTTTATTCTATTTTATCCCTAAATTCATTATTTTAATTAATAATATTATATAATAATTCTAATTTTAAATATTTATATAAAAAATATAATTTTTTATTCTAAATGTTACTATAATTTTACTATGTATATTTTTTTTCTATTTTGTCTTCTTTTTATTTATTTATTTATATCATAATTTTACTATAGTGTCAAAAGAAATTAAAAAAAAAGAAGTTAAAAGTGACGTTAAATTAATCCTAGTGAACTGATGAATAGGTTCTTATAAAAAAAATTTCACACATAAATAAGCGAAATTATCGGTTCAAATAAAACGTCAGAAATTAGCGATTCAAAATATAAAATTGAAATCGAATAATAAAAATAGCATAGCAGAACTACAACCATCTAGAAATATCAAAACAGATTGGCGAGGCAGATTAGTCGTTATTTGCGGGCCAATCCACGGCGGGACGGACTAAAATTTAGGCAGCCTAATCCAACCCACCTCGGGTGATGAGCTAAGCGAACCAACACACGGACTTTAAAAAATATATTTAAAATATTATTTTTTTAATATTTTTAATATAAGAAATAATCATATTTTAGAATTGAAATAATAAATATTTAAATAAATCTATAATATAAATTGATTAAATATTTTAAATATCATTGATCCGTTATTTTTTTTAAAAAAATTGTTAATAAAAAATACTTAATTAATAAATAGGTATTATTTTTATAAATCTTTCAATAAATTTTATAAGAAAAGATATCAAAAGACAATAAAAAATAAATAAAACAAACGAACAAATTAAATAAAGAAAACATAGCTGGCCAAAACAGTTATAAAAAGGAATAACATCACATCTACTAGTTAATTAGTTTAACGTTGGAAAGTTTTTAATAAATTAATTATTTGATTTAACTTAATATAAAATATTTTAAAAATTATCATAAATTATAATATTTCATAAATTCCATATTTATATATCTATTTCAATTTTGTTAAAAATTATGAATAGTAGTATTAAATAATGATGATTATTATTATTATAATAATATGGAAGTGGTAAGAATTTTTACTAACTACAATTACTAAAAATAAAATTAATTAATTAATTTTCGACATGCTAAAATGATAAAAATTGATAAATTCATTTGAAATATTAAAAATATAATATAATTATAATTATATGTATTTGATGGACGGACTAACCTGCCCCAATCTCGGTTTACCCGCTTCTAACCGCAGCTCACGTGAGTTGACTTGTTTAGATTCGCATTATTACGGGTCTAAAAAATTAAGATTCAATCCTTTTTAAAAATAGCGCGAGGTCAACCCGACGGATTACGCATGTTGACAGCTATACTACAACCACAGAAGAACCATGGATAGGAGAAAGAAAAGAGAATTTAATATTAATATTTTTTTAATGAATAAAATATACTCCTTCCGTCCCATACAATATGGGTGTATTACTGTAGACACGGGAATTTAGATAAAGTATAATTAGTAAATAATTAAGAAATGTATTAGTAAAAATAATTATTATTTAGTAAAAAAATTATAGATTAAGATTAAGATAACTAAATAGTTTAATTAAGATTAAAAAAAATTAAATTTTAAATTTTAAAATATGATTAAAGTGTATAATTAATTTTTAAAAAAGAAAATGACAAATTATGTGGGAGGGACGAAAATAAAAAATAGGGACAAATTATATGGGACGGAGGAAGTATATATTATATATATATAAGTATTAGTGTGTGTATATATATATATTTAATAATATTTAAGAAAATAGTTGCGCTCAAAAACATTAAGTAAATAAATTTTATATTTTTTATATACTTAATTAATAAGTATTATAATATTTTTACTTTAATAAATTATGTCAATTAAATAGGGATAAAATTATTTTTTTATTTAATTTATTTATCCAATTCAAATTTCTTCTAGTACAATTATTTGCAGCTTCTATTGTTGTTCACGTCACTGCTATCATCTCCATCGCCGCCGCTACTGCTGCTCCCACCACTGTTGTATGGCGGTGATCTCCATATCAATCGGTGGAAAGCCATTGGTGTTGGTGGTAGACGGCGGATCGTTGTTGTTGAACAATATGATGATGATTGAAAGCTCTCTGTTCTAAGATGAGGAGAGGGGCGGGCTCCAACCCACCCCAAATCCCCCTAGAAATCTGTAGATCAACTGCATTTTTACTGTAGCAATGCAAAAATGGAGTGGAGGGTTGGAGATAGCCTAATAGTATGGGAGAATTTAGCGGAAGGCGTCGGCAATGGTGGAAGACGAGTAATGATGGTGATTGGAAGAGTAGTGAGAAAAAAAACCTATGTCAGATGTCGTGCTGAATAATTTAATGTAAAATGATATCTCATCCACACGTAAATTCTGAAATCAATGAAACAAAATGCTGATTATTTTATATAATAATTAATGGTGAATTTTTCTACATTTTAATATTAATCGCAAACTTCTATTATATGCATACTCACAATAGAGATTATAAATATCATCCGGTTCAGTGAATTTTATTGTATGACAATCAATGGATCATATTTATATTAGATGCTGAAAAATATCAAACAATATGATATCTATTGAATAATAAAATATTGTGTCTCGTAAGAGATGGCCAGGTGGAGTGGGGACTGGAGGTTGGACGTGGTACCGTTATCGCTAAAAATTTATAAGAAAATTTTAATTTTTTGTTGTATGCGTATAAATTAATTGCGTTATAATTATATATTTATAATTTATATAAAAATTAAATAATTATTATTTTTATAATAAGAAATGAATCACAAACAATAATATTAAAAAAATAATATTTTCAAAAACTAAGAAATATATATTTGCGATTTTTTTTTGTCATCCAAATTTATTTTTATTCTTTTATTGATATTTAAATATATTTTTATTTCTCTTTTTTATAAAAAAATTCGTGACAACATTTATTTTATTTTATTTTTACCAAAGGAATAATTATACAATAAA